CGGGTAATCCTCCGGTTGTCGTTGCGCTGGAACCCCCATCCCCTATACTACTACATGAAAACATATTTTCCAAGATTTTTGAATAGAGAACACATTCAATGATAAATTCACTTTTTTGTTTTTGAAAATCTACAATCGTAAAAGCACAATAAACTTATATTGTATTGCGTAAATAAATGTCCAAAATGCTGTATTGAATGTGTTGTAGTCTAGTGTCTGCACCAAAACGCTAATGAAAGTTTGAATACGTTAATGAATCCACGCAAACATATTCATGATTGTCAAATTCAATGCTAAATTTCTTAATGCATCCCACTCTTGAGACTCCGTTCGCCTTATTGTATGCCTGTTCCCTCTAATGACAATGCTTCTTCGCTTCAATGAATATTCCTTTGCGGTTAATGAACAGCAAAAGGTGTATTTCACGTTCATATATACTAGTTGGGGCAGCAGTATTTGGTAATTACCTAACGATAATGCTATTGTTACTATTTCAGCGAGTCTCCTGGGTCTAGTCCTGTCATAAGCCCTGCTGGATTTCAATTTCTTCTCATGGATAGAAGTTCACAAGTCTGGTATTTCATGTTACAATACTTAGAGACAGTTGAGGTAACAGCAAGGTCAATTGATCATCATTACTTGTTATATTTTACTGGGTTTCCTGTGACAAGCCAGTCTTAAAATATAAGTAAAGGAAATCCTAGAGAAGCTTGTTTTATTTTTGTCAGTAAATAAAAGATTTCTGAGTGAAATGCACTCACTTCTGAACCGAGTTTAAAAAACTTATGGATTGTTTTGCAATCACCAAGAGTTCGTGCATTGTTCTTGGATTTCCGTACGAACGTACTGACTTTTAAACAAATTATTCACTCCATTTGTTTAGATATATCCCTAAATACAAGCAAAATATCATTCCTCTAACTTGATTGAAGCTTTTCTTACTACTGTTTAGAATATTAACTAAAGGAATTGATCTGAATTTTTTTTTTAAATTCAGTAAATTTGTATGAGAATCCAAGTATATTATGTCGGAACTTTTCGGTGACCATAACACAATCCAACATGTTTTGGGCTAGTGCTTAAAAGGTGAATTGTAATATTATTAAATATAATTATGCTGATATATATGCTTAGCTTTACAATGATCCAATGACAAACTTTTGAGTTACATATATGTTATCATCCTTGTTCTTATTACACCCAGAGGAGTGTAAGCATACCTGTATTATTTTTATGATGACTGTTACTAGCAAATGTTGCTTTTTTCTTTCCAAGGCACGTGGTATGGACTTGGTTGAGTGTTTGTCTTTCTTATTTCAATTAAGTTTTTCAACTCCTGGAAAGGTACTAATGTTGTTAATTAAATTTATTTAATATTTCCTTTGCTAAAGATATTTTACTGGTTTAGAAAAAACCTGGGATTTATGTGGCTACTGCCTCGTAGAGGCCAAGCCACTATGTCATCGAGTTATGTAAGTAAGTCGGTAACACCACAGGAGATCAGACAGTGAATTTGTGCATTTATATGACACATAAATACACAGAATTCTCTGTATGATTGACTAACTAGTAAAGAGATGCGTTGGGTGGCCATAGTTAGGTGCGTCCTGCAAATAGTGCAGTTTTCGTATGACTGTGAAAAGATCAAGGCACGAACATGGTCATCACACAGCAAGCGATACGCCAGACCAATCACATTGCACGAGAATTTACTCTCCATCTAATCAACTGAGCTTTTCACAGTCATGCGAAAACTGCTCTATTATTCAATGGCACTACATATAGTTAAAAAGATGTTGGGTGGCCATCAAGGGCGGATCCAGGGGGAGGGTCGGGGGGGTCGCCCCCCTGTCATTCCTGAGGTCAAATGGGCTTCCTGTGGTAAAAATGTGACTGGGATTCCTTTGCCCACAAAATTTACCCCTGAGACCCCCCCTTCAAAAAACCCTGGATCCGCCCTTGGGCCATGGCTGGGTGTGTAGAATATCAGTGATCAGTGATCTTCTAATCAATTATAATTTAAACACCATGATTAATTTTCTTTAAGGATTACCCTACTGATGGACTAACAGAATGTCAGTTGAAAATGCTGCAGCACCTGAGAGAGATAGGTTTAGTTTTCCAGAGAAAGGTAACTTCCTTTTTTTTATTCTGTCCATGCCTTTTTTTAAGTTTTAGCACTTTATTCACAGTCACACTCAACTAACTTAGTCCTAAATCGCAAAGGAAAAATTGAGTTTTGATGGACGTCAATCAAAAGGGTTTCTATTCTGACTTCAAATTTTTCCAAAGATTCAGAGCTGGAATCTGGTGACATTTTTGAGAAAATATATCCAAAGCAACAGTTTTTGTATATGTGTTCACATTGAGTATTCACCCCATTCCTGGTGTAGAAACCAATAGAAACAATAGAAATCCTCAGACTGACATCCACACCCAAACTCAATTTTTTGAAGGACTAGGCATCCGAAACATCATCTTTTCGCGGTGTAACCTTTTATCATTACTGTTTCATTAGAAACACTGACGCAGCTCACACTATTTTTTAGCTAGTTATCTCTTCAAGGCCTTGTTGGTCAAGTGTGACTGGGAATCGCTGTAATACACTGTTTATGGTGCAATGCAGTAAAAACCTGCATAAAAGAACAAGTGGGTTAAGAAAACCCAACCTGAATTTGGGCGTTTTAAGTACCATGTAAATAAGAACACCATCACCCTGAAAAATTAAAAAGTGTTCTTGAAAAAAAATTAGATCAATATTTATGTGCTAGACCTGTTTTGCAGTAGAGTAATAGAGTTTAATTCAATTCAATTTGATTTTATTTTAAATTTATGTAATTACAATAACATAATTAGAAATGACTAATCAGGGTTAATTTATTCTTCTACTGTTTTGATACAGTTATTATTGTCAGTCAAGATTTTTTTTAATAACATTTTTGAACTTACCCATTGATATCATCTACATGTATTGGTAGTCTATATAGTAATACTGCTATATATATTTTAGAAACATTTATTTTAAGAACACCTTAAGAACACCTTCAGGCTGATTTTTCAGTAAACACCTGTTAAATAAGAACAAAATAAGCCTCAACTCCAAAAATGGGTGTTCTTTTATGTGGGTTTTTACTGCAGCAGTAGTACTTTAAATTAATAAACCAGTTATAATATTGCATTTTTGTTTTCAAATTTGCTTAAGTTTTGCTAACAAATTGTTAGCTCAGCAATTGTTAGTTCAGATGATTTTTTTCATGGATGATTCTCTCGTATTTTTCATTTTTATTTTATTTCTATTGTTTTTGTTGTTTTTTTATCTTTTACATTTTTTTACAATATATTCATTGATATTTCACTTACGTCACACAATGGTGATAGGTATGTCTTTTGTTTCCATACCCCACATTTTATTTATCTTAATTTGCTAGATCTTTGTACTTTGAGAGTTTTTCTATATTGAATTTAAGGGACATTTCATTCGGTTGGCACATGATTCTATTAGAATACATTGTTTGGCTACTTTGTTCTTGTCTATGATGTCTTGATAAATTATATAGTTACATGGGTTGTACTTGAATGTATCACAAGATTGTTACTGCATCGTTGTCCATTAATTTCTTAGGTTCATGTGCATACAATAGCTATTATTTAATTTAGTGACAATAGAAAGTTATATATTTTTTTATGATTTTCAGCGCACATCAAAGAGGTATTATCCAACCAAATTAGCTGTTGACTTTACATTTTCAAGTTCAGGTAAGAACTCTTTCTAGCTGTAACCACTATAATAAGCCTTTTCACAGTTTAAGAATCGATTCCACTGTGCATGCGATTTTATCCCGAATTTCTACCTTCTTTTGTTCTTAATTAAACAAAAGAAGGTGAGAAATTCGGGATAAAATCGCATGCACAGTGGAATCGATTCTTAAGCTATGAAAAGGCTTATTATATTCACATTATTGTTGCATTTTGATCTTACTGCTTACAGTATATTAACTCGTCGAGCAATAGACCATAATAATATGCAAAAAGCCCTAGAAAATGTCTTTCTACAACAAGTTATAATAGTTAGCATTTGAAACAGCATATACATACATTTGACAACGTGGTAGTAAAAATTATACCTGAAAAGTTGCTACATTGCTTTGAAATTAGATGAATTTGTAAGAAAAGAGAAAGGAGGCCCTACCAGCCTCATTTTCATGTTTATGGCACATTTTAATTGCTTTCAACTTTTAATTCTGCAAATATTTGCCTTTACTACTTTGAAACTAGTGCATATATTTTCTAATTCACTTGACAATGTGATTGTTCAGTTGTGACAAAATATTTTGCATAAGTAATCTATGAAATACCTGTATTTTGATGCTTTTATACCAGTCAATATAATTATGTTACTCTGGTAAAATATAGATTTTAATAAAAGTTTAAGATTTAAATAAATAAGCTATAATTGTGAGCTGTTTTTGGATAGGTGTGCTGTGGTGTGTAGTTTTCAAAGTACAATGTCATATATTTTGCAGTGTGGAGACATAATTATGACTGCCATCTGCATTTTATACTGCTTTAATTTATAAATATTTAACTTATTTTAGCTAGCACTATGTGCTGAAAACCCATGAATTTACATTCTCAAACTCATGAATATTTCATGAGGAGAAAACAAAGCAAATCACTACTGTGATGTTGGTTTGGAAATGTGTTCTTAATTTGCATTAAATTTCGTAAACTTTTTCTTTGATTTTCTCCAAGACATATTCATGAGTTTGCGAAGTAATTTCAAACATGCGAGAGATTTCTTCCTCCGATTTCCAAACACCGAAAAGTGAGTTGAAAAAACGAGGTGCAGCCAACTGAGGTGTTTGGAAATTGGAGGAAGAACTCTCTCGCATGTTTGAAATACTACTTCAAAATGAACTAAAGAATACAGACTGGCCTTCTTATAACTTAGGTACATGTTCTTTAGTTTTCCTCTCATGACATTTCATGGCCATCAAAAAGTATCCATGGATCTTGAAATTTGATTTTTTAATTTCATGACAAATTAATGGCCATGAGAAAAAATTATGCTATATAACTTCATGGCCATCAAAGATAATTCCTTGGGTATTAAATTTTATCTTTTGATTTTATAGTAATTTCATGGCCACAAATTTTTTCCATGTGGCCATTAAAAAGTATTCATGGTTCATGAAAATTTAATTTTGTATTTGATGGTAATTTCATGGCCATAAAATTTTAATTTTCATGCCCATTACTCTTTTTTCATGGTCATGAAATTAAAATCCACTATTTAATAGTATTTTCAGTATTGATTGATAGTATTTTAGTATTGATCTTTATGGTACAGACAGTTGAGGTCGATGTTAACTTTGTTTTTTAACTTTGATTCTTGTTTCTGTTAAAAATAGAAAAATCAAGTCAACTAAGTAAAACACAAGATGGTTTTATTGTTATAGAAACAAATTATCGTGTCTATGCATATACAGGTATATTATTTAAAATGAATGAAATATATAATAATAGGCTTTGCACCATCACATCATGACAGCCAAGACAGGGGGCAGGAACAATAATTGCTTTTGGTCTAATCTGATTTACATGAGAAAGGATTCAGTTTCCCAAGGGGAAAATCTCTATTGTTATGCCCCCTGTCATGGCTGCCATCACATTATGGTGCAAAGGCTCTATTGGAGAAAAAAAAAAGACCCTGGGGGGCAGGGTAGACCTGGTTACCTGGTTGGGATGGTTTACTAGTAGTAGATCTAGTTTCTGAGAATCTAAAGGAGAAGTGGCAATAAGTTGCAATCAAACCACTGTGTGGGGAACTCGTGGATACTATTTGCACTTTTCAGAGATTGCGCTCCCTGTTTTCATACCAGGAATGTGAACAAGAAGTGTAAGTTAATGTCAGCTGTTGGTCAGTTGTTGATGGAGAGGTTTCCAGGCTGATCATAAATTGATTCCCCAACTATAATGACAATTTAGTCTAAATTCAACTTTAATGATTCTCTTTAACTTTAAAATTCATTTCAGATTCTTCCCTTCAAGTAGCTTTAGTAGGATTGTTTTGTGAAATATTATGCAGGTAATATTTACCTGCAGTGTACAGTTATTTAGCAAATGTTTGCCAAAGGCGAAGTGAAAAATATCTATATTTACTGAGCCTGAGGTGAATAATTGTTTTAGTATAAATACACAGGTGATTCTTTCAAAAAAAAAAAGAAGATAAAAGACACATTTTTTCCAGTTACAGCAACAAAGCGGCCGCCATTTTGGATTATCACTGGAGGTGATTATTGTGTGATAGTGTGAGTTTCTCTACCAATCAGTGCGCGAGATTTTCAATAATCACCTGTGTATTTATACTAAACATGGTTGGGTTGAAAGACAAGTCAGAGCAAAACTTTCACTGGGAGAAATTATAAAATATCTACATGTAGATACATGACTCCAGTGCAATTATTGTCCTTGCTAACTTAACCATCCTGTATTCCAGTGTGGAAAATCATAATATTGAGAAAATCATTATCACATCATTAAAATAACTCAACTCTTATATTTTATTGAAAACAGGTTTCCAAACTTATGTGTGGCTGTCCTAACCAGAGAAAGTTGTCATCAAGTAAGAAAATTAGAATCATACATCGAATCGAAATATGGCGACCAATTTGAATAACTATTGTTCTGCACTGACAAGTGACTGACTAGCCTCGTGTTCACATGGAAACACAAAAGCATTTTCACATGTATGAGAGGCTAGTCAGTCGCTAGTCAGTACAGAACAATAGTTATTCAAATTGGTTGCCATATTTCGATTCAGTGTATGCCATTGTTTATAATATTTGAATAAAACATGCATGTTAATGCAGCTAATTAACAAATAGACATCAGTTTTTTATGTGTCTGTCCTCTCTTATTGATGATAAATTACATCATCACATTATTTATTTATTAGTGGAGGCCGGCACAGTGGATTTCAACAATGATTAAAAATCAAATTCAAATTGGCCACTTTAGAAACGAGTTGAGGACTGGGAACGAGTTATTACAATTAACCTACTTAAAGAAAGCCATAACAAGATTAGCCTGCATCACATCTGGAATTTTCTCAGTAAATACTTCGAAAGAAAAGGCTGGATGCAATGTAGGCCTTTACGAGATCAGAATCAAAATTAGTAAATTTCTGGAGTTTCAAGATTTTGGGTCTCATACCTTTTGTGTAGCAACCTTTCAAAAAGTTCTGAAAAAGTTTCTGAAAAATTACAAAGAAATGTACCTATCGTTGCTTGGGATGCTTGTCCCTAGTAAATCTCATACATTTCTTTGCTAATAATTTTTGATGTTTTTGATTGCTCATAATTTATCTGTTACTTAGTCAATTGAAAACACACTGCAGAAACCTGTTAATTTTGATGTGCACTTCCTTGTCATTAATTATCAATACCTTAGCTATATACTCATTCCCAGTCCTTCACTTGTTTCTAAAATAGCCAATAATTGGAATCCAGACTGGAAAAAGAGACACTCTGTGGAATCCACTGTTAATTTCCATTTTGTTTTCTAATTAATGGTGTCAACCATAAATGTAACTACTAGGTAAACTCGTGTATAAAAACAAATTTCTAACACTATTAATTGCATCAAAATACCTATTGCATACATAATATACATTATTATAATAATCAATATTACATTAATTAGAAATGCCTTTGCATAATTTTCATAGCCTAATATATTTTTTCCCCCCAAGGCTCTTTCTAGTGGCATTTCAGCAGAGCAGGTAATGTGACCTAGCTGAATGATTATGATCCTGACATTATTTTTTCACTATTTGTGATACAATTGCCCAGTAACATCTTTCAGTACTACTTATTTTATATTTATTTCAAAAGATTCTTCACTTTCTTCAAACACGAGCTCATCCAGAAATGCAAAAAAAGGTAATGCTTCGCATATTTTGTATATTTGTCTGAGATATCCACCCCATTGGCTGACAAGGCAGTACACATATCCACCCATTGCAGATGATGATACATTAAAGTGTGACTACTTTAACCAGGGCCACTTAGACAGTGAGAACCAATCAAATTCTATAATAAAAACAGTTTATTCCAAGTTTGAGTAGTCACAGGAGCCAATCAGAAAGCAGCAGAAAACAACTAAGCCTTTTGACATATCTTTTTATTCCCACAAGAAAATGACGATAGCTATTTAGTTGTTTACACATAAAAATGAGGGTCAAATTACCATCCTTGTGCAGTCTAGGTTTCTGATTGGCTCTACCCAAAGTTGGAATGCATTGTTTTCATTTTACATCTTAATTGAATCTCTTGTCCAACTGGTCTAAGTGGCCATGGTTACAGTAGTTGCACTGTAATTAGATAACCAATCTCTATTTCGTAAGAAATCTAGTTGTAAAAGACAATGTTTAGCTGTCATCTCGACATCATCAACAGGTGTAATGAAAACTGTAAACTCTATACTATATATTACTATAAATATAGCTAAAGCAAGTGTGAAAGTTCAGTGAATAACAATAAAATAGATTAAATCAAGTGGAAAAATGACAATGAAAGCGCATAACATTGAAAATCAAGTGAGAAACAGACAAAAAATAATAATTAATTGAAGACTTTCACTCTAATAGTCTGATTGTTTGTTAAGTTCAGGTTTAAGGTTTTTGATGATGTATAGTTTAAAAAAGGTTTGACTTTTGTGTATATTTTAGACTCCCATTATTCCACCCACAATCAGTGATCAAGTCAGACTCTGGGAGATGGAGAGAAGCAGAATGAAGTTTACTGAAGGTAATGGGATTGACTGCATCAATGTTTTGGTCCAATATTATTATTATACTTCTATATTATTTTATCTTTTTCCTATTTCATACCACAAGTCATTTCCTTAATGGTTACACACAAGAAGACACATGAATATGGATACAGCTTCCAGCTGATCTGAAAGAAAACATTAGCCAATCAGATTTGAGAAAATTTGCAAAACTGAAGTGCCCCTTTTTTCCCACCTGAAATCATAGATTTGCAGGTCACCAAATGAAAAAATAATGCTGCTAATGAGAAGTTGATAACAGTGACACAATTAGTTTATGAGTTTTAAATTTTTAATACAATGACAGGCATGTTTTTACTTTTAGTAGGTCAATTTCAACAGGCTTCAGGACACCTCAGTTTTGTATTGAGCAGATGTCATTTCGGTCGCTATTTCAGATCAGCTGGTTAAACAAATAAATCTTATTTCCAAGAGAATTACAGGTGGTCTGAAATGGGAATATGAGGATTAGGTCCATTAATGGGGATGGGCATGACATCTAGGGAGAACCTACATGGAACTCGGTCAATGTAAAGTTTCTAAATCTATCAAATTCTATTAACAGTATTAGAAAGGTATGATTCATTGTATTTTCTAAATACATTACATTAAGTGCTTGTTGCGTAGGCTCTCCCAAGACATCTAGTAAATGGTAATATGGCAGTGTAACAAGTAAAATAGACCGAGGGATTTTGTTTCCATCAAAAAAGTTCATTATTAATTTTATTATAAAATTTTATGATCAAGGGTCATTTTTTGAAGGACAGTGACGTTGCAACTGCAAACTGCTAGTCTTCATCAGGTGATTGTGTAGACTGGATAGTATGTTTATTAATATATAGCACTGGTTAGAGCAATCTATTGGTTATTACGTCTCAGTCCTTCTTCATAAGGTAGTACTGATAGGATTTATGCTGCAGTTCTGATGTTTGGAGGAGTGCTATATAACAGAGACACCATCCAGTTTGAACCATTTGTAGCAGTTTGCAGTCAAAACGTATTTTTTCTACAAATGAATAAATTTATTAAGTAATCGTTTATTGCCATTTCCACAATGAATAATATCTTTCATTCTAATCATTTGTTTTTATAGGAGTACTTTACAACCAGTTTTTATCTCAAGATGACTTTGACACGTTAAGAAAATATGCAGAGGTTAGTTCATTATTATTAGTTATAAATTATTAGCCCGACTAATAGAGGCTATGTTAACTCCCTCCACCTTTACTAAATATATCTAATAATATACAGCAATTAAGTCAGGTTAAGTCATATTATACAAAACAAATAAAATAAATTGCAAAACAAGTGTAAAAGTAAAATGGGTAGGAGGGAGAATAAGATATTTATAATCCTTATGTCAGTCTAGATAGGAATAAGCTGTGCCTTGGCCTTGAAGATGGGCCTTATTATTTGGCTGACATGGTTTTCTTTCTTATTCGTAGGGCTTTATATCTCATATATGCATGCTCATTATGAATTCAAGGGCTATATCTGTATAACATATATAGCCCTTGAATACTGATCGAAATATACTGTATTGCCTGTGAATGCATAATGAGATCAGGAGTTAAACTTAGAAATGTTGTACTTCAACCTTTTTACAAAGGAAAAAAATCTTTTGATAAATAAACTTAAAACCTAGCTGGAATCAAACCACGACCTTTGGCTTATCTATACCACACTTTATGCTGAATGCTCATGCATAGCTATAATGGAATATGATGGACAAAAATTTGTAAATACCTCTCTTAATGAAGCTCATTAACATTACAAAGACTTTTTCTGAGAAAGTAAATGTGGTGCATTGTGGTCTAGCTTGGGTACAAACATCTTGTCCATCATGCCTTATATGGTGTTGTTTGTACCCAAGCTAGACCACAATGCATCCTGTTTATCGAACTCAGAAAAGGAAACAGAGGATCGATATAGTGTACTATACCAGTTATCCAGTTATATGCCCTGGGTTTATACAACTTCTCAAAGGTTCTAATATTTTAGAATGTTATTGCAGGATCTTGGTGTGCTCATTTGGGCAAACTCTTTGAAAAGGGTTGTCGTTGTCAGTCGCTCTGGACATGATGATGTAAAACGGTTCTGGAAAAGACACAAGACCTAACTGATTCAAAATTATGAAGGAAAAGAAATTACCTCGATGACATTGTGACAGCATATCACTAAAATATTATTAGATTTATTGACATTAAAAATCTTTGTTGTGCAAGTGTTTACTTCTATGTTGTTGTATCCATCAGGAGTTTCTAAACATTACTGCAGCCATTCAATCATTGAGTCAGTCAGTGAGTCGCTTAACATTAAGTTTACAACAAACAATAATTACATATCAGATAGATAAAAATCAAACAAACAGCAAAGTTTTACCTTCTTTATTAATTCAAAATGTATTATCTGCATAAAAATAACTAACAATATTAGTTTCTTTCTACTTTGTCTACTAGTATTTCTCAGAATTATAAAAATATAATTTACATAAATATAATTTAATTCATTTGTGAGCTTCAAATCAACCATTAGCACTGCTTACATCATGTTATATAATCATATTATTAAATACTTACACACGGTAAGATAAAAAACGACATTTGGATAAAATGCCTATTAATGGATACATGATGATATTATGCATCCCTTTGGAAGTAACTACTTGTTCACATTTCCAAGACCAGCTGCAGCTTTTGCCTGGAACAAGTCTCTGATTAATACTGATTTTTCCTTCTCAAGTTGCGCAATTCTGCTGTTCTTTTCCAATAGGTCCTAAATTTCAAAACATGCATTGCTACTTCAATATATAAGGGCAAAAGCACCAAAATACTTATTATACTTAAAAGCACAGAGGGTAAAACAATCAGTTTGGTGTATTTTTTAGAGTTGCCATGAAAACAACCTTCGACCCAGGCTCTTTTGAGGAACAAAAACAGATCACAGTAAACACCATATTAATTTACTTTATAAGAACTTTCAAACTACCAACTCATCCTGTAGGGATTGTACACTTTCATGATTTTTGTTTGAGGGTACCCAATATTTTTAAAAAGTCCCCCATAGATCAATTACTGTGCTTATGCTTACATGGTTTAACTGTTGTAGCTGCTCTCTTGTGCTAGAACATTCATCCATCGAGTTAGAAATGTTCTACAATGTAAGTAAGAACAAAAGTTTAGTAAAGATTATGAAAAGCTAAATTACGATTAAAATAATCTTTGAAAATCATTATTTTTAGATTGTAGTAGTAATAAATTATGCGTTCAGTGTGTATATAATGAAGTTGCCAAGGGCAATTGATAATTTTCTCTTATTCTCTCTACTTCATTATATACACACCGAACGCATAATTTATTACTACTATACTATGTCTATTCTTTGCGTACATATTTACGGTGTTCAACTTATCTATAGAGAAAAAATATCGTTCTGGGATCCTCACGAATACCCTACATTTCATATTCTGGCTGCGTTACCAGCGTGGTTGGTCCTTGTAGTGTAGTGGTTAACACATTGGACTAGAATACCGAAGACGTGGGTTCGAATCCTGCCAAGGGCAATTGATATTTTTCCTTATTCTCTCTATTTTTATATTGGGTGAACACATTCAGTATCATATGCAAACCATAAATACCGGTGTCCAACTTTTCTCACACTATACAAACTTCAACTGAAATTCAATGGATACAATTATCAATTTTTATTTTTATAAACTGAGGGGGAAAGCAGATGTTGCTGGATGATACTCATCACTGTTGTGACAACAGCTGTACATTGACAGGAAAGCTGGCAGTGAATTGACTGCCCTCAATAAAAAATGGTGAGCTTGTAAACCTTCACGCATGACAGCTAGATTGTTTTCTACAATTCATTACATTGGCTGTGGAATTTTTTGGAAATAGTGCGGAATATTATGGGAATTCTAATTAGCATAATCAGAGAGAGATAATTTATTTTAAATACAGATTCTTATTGTAATTCCTGCCCAAAACATTTTATTGATAACCATGATTGGACAAGAATATTGAGACTTGGTGGTTAGAGCTCAGTGTTTAGAGCATGGCACTGGAATCTGCAGGGCATGGGTTCAAATCCCGTTCAAGACTCAATACAGATACTTGATAGGCTTGATATACTGCGCAGATCAGCTCAATTAGATACAAGTATTATTAGAATATTATGCAAATCRTAAGCTTCCTCAGAATAACAAATAGTCTCCAGGGTCTTGAAATAATTACAAGGGATGCCTGGTTGCTTTTTATCCAAATAATGGAAACATACAGAAATTAACTTATTTTAGTCGGACCTCAAATTTGCCATAAAAGCCAGGGAATCGGCCTAGAAATGACTAATTTGTACAGGAAATCATACAATCTCGAGTACAATTTGGAATTGATCACAAGTATCTATCAATGACAAAATGGGACTCTACAGAGTACAATTTATTCGGGATTTAATTGTATTCCTCTGGTCCAATCACAATGAAGTAACTTTGTTAAGTGTATTATGAGGAAGCTAATTTCAGTTCAGAAGAAAGATTTTATGAATATAGTATTTTATTCTGAGAGACGCAACCTCACACTCTATCAGATCCTATCGAAATATATATACTCTGGCCTTTCAACATCAACTACATAATATTTAGATTTATACAATATAAAGAACGACTACATTAATTTTAACRAAACACCCAGACAAAGAAACATATGTATTCAACACATTCAATAGAGTACTCAAGTGATGACGTCACAAAATTAAATTTTGACTTTATCATATTTTTGCTTAACAAATTCGACAGACAATCAAAAATAGATGTTTACACACCAAATTTGACGAGGATCAGCTGAGATGTGGTCATTAGGATATATAATTACCCCATACAAATCACTGTATTTTTAGCTCTGTCCCAAGTGTTTGGAACAGAGCCAAAAATACAGTGATTTGTATCCAGGTAATTATATCAAATGGTCATATCTCCAGGGCTGTCAACTCTCCCGGATACACCGGGAGTCTCCAGATTTTGGACCGTATCCTGGTATCCAGATTAGAGTCTCAAATCTCCCAGACTCGACTTTCACAATCATAAAATTCTGATTATTTTGTGTTGTTTGTGTTATTATACATCGCTAACAAAATCAAARCATTCCTCATATACTGTTCTTGCAAGCAGGCCATTGTATTATAAGCGATAATCTGATTGGTCRGAAATAACTCAATCACATCAAATGTTACAAAGCGAAAGATGTCTTTTCGCATGCTTTTTGACGCACTGTGATGTGATGTCCTTTCCCTATCAATTCTCCAGATTTGAATATCTCGGGGGGGGGGGGGGGGGGGGTTGACAGCCCTGTATCTCAGATTATGTTTGTCCGATTCTCGTCTCAGACGTCAGACTTGAGTATTCTTTACGTATAGTATATTACCAGTAGTTCATGCGGGTTTTCAATAAGCTCTTTCATGTATTTGTTAAGTTCTTGAATGTTTTTCTTGTAACACTTGAAAACAGTCTCATTAAGATTCAGTTCTTTCCTCCTCGTTTTGTGCAACAGCATTTCATACTGAAACTAAAACAGATAAAACAGAGAGCTAGATAAGCCTTTCTTAACATATCAGCAGGGGTTTTTGACCCATTTATGGGACATTCCACATAAGAAGTGAAAAAATGGTATGTTTGAAAATCAATGTTTTAAGTGAATTTCTATGTATGCAACATAGATATACACCCACTTCCTGAGAGGCTGCCATGATGATAAATTCCTAGATTTTCAGAAATTCAATGATCAAAACATTCATTTTAAAAAGTCAATTCTGCAGACCTTACTTAAACAAAAATGTCGCCTTCTGAAAGTTAAGAAAAGATAGTATTTAACAAGACAATCTCGGAGCRTGCACTGGGTTGTTCGATGTGAGGATATGCTTAAGCTTATTTAACGCCTAATCTTTGTTATGTACCGTTATTTGGAACATTTTAGGTACATTTTCCCCCCAGACCTTCCAAAGTCTGCAAATAACTATCATCTTATGAATCTTAATTTTTTTTCTACTCACTTCTGGTGGTTCAATTTTTGCTCCAAAAGCTCCATTAAATGCTGATTATATTGAAAACAAGCTCAGGACACCCAATTTTTCTTTCCAGATTTGGAATCAGCATTAAATTTTGGAAAATCAAAGTTTTAAAAAAAGTTTAAATTTCAAATTTATTTCTACATTTAATTTTAAATTAATTTTTTTTTCTAGGTCTCTCCAATCTTGATCATATTTTTCAAATACAGGCCGTAAACATATGCACTTTTTGTGAGACAAAGACAAAAAAAACCAAAGGCATTTTACAACTAGGCTACCACAGGCAACCCAGTAATTATTCAACATGTTCTTTTAGTCTTGTTGGACTTACTTGTTCTAATGAATTCTTGTCTGACTGTTGAAGAAGAAGATTCTCTTCTTGTACAGCTGTAAATCTCTTGAAGTACCATTTTCTTGCTTTCTCTATGACATTCAAACCCTCTTTTAATACTTGAAGCTCTTCTTCCACCTGATTTGATCTAATTTTCTATAATCCAAAAGTACAGTTGGTAATGACCATGAAAACCTGATACCCTTGAAGCCTTTAAAAGACTAAAATGTTTTGTAAGACTTTTGACAGCCAGCAATGCAACAGGGAAATGTTTTACCACTATATCACTCATGTCATCCATTTGATCTTACGAATCTTTCAAACAACAGTTGTTATGGTCAGAGAAAAGCTGAGCATGACAGGTTTTTTGGAGAGAGTAATTCCAAAGAACCTGAAAAACAAAACCCAAATCAATGGAGAGACCCCAAAAAGACCTGCCAAAGTCATTCTCCAAGCCAGGATGGGACCCGACAAGTAATGATCAAAGCAAAAATTCAAGGAGTTCTCAAGGAGTTTTGCTAAAATCGTAAAATTCAAGAGCTTTTCAAGTGCCCTTGAAAACGTGAATTAAATTCAAGGAGTTTTCAAGCAGTTTAAGGAGTAGCACGAACTCACTGTTACCTATTACGCATGTTCTTGCAATTACAAATCGCACTCCTGCTATGCAGTTGTGCRATTTTGTAATCGCACATTCAATTTCAGACCAAATTCAGACCACTCAGTTCAATTACCATTATAATAATATCAGTCACTCAACACTATTTCATTTCAACAGCATTACCATGTCAATCCTCTCCCTAGCTAAGACTGTGTTAGTACCACCACCTCTTAATCCATCTTGTTCATGTTGAGCTGTACTTGAACTTAGCTCTTTTGCAACGAAATAAACTTTGGAAGTAGATCCTGTTTGGTTGCCTTAAAATATTAAACAAAAGGCAATGTCAGCAGATATCTCTGTATATGAAAATATATTATCATCATACATTCTTTTTATGAAGTAAAATCTGGACAAGAAAAAAGGCACATAAAATCAGTTCAAAGGAGGTCATGCAAGTCATGAATAGACCTTAGGAATCACGCTTGTAAATTGTACTTGAAATTTTAGGTGTCCAATGTAATGGGCTGATTTCCATGAAAACAATGGTACTAAATATAACACTTTAGCAGTAGCGTAGCGAGGGGGGGGGGGGCATGTGCCCCCCCAACATTTTTGAAAAAAAAAATTTGAAAAAAGAATAACAACAAAAAAAACATATTAAACCAAAACAAAAGAGGAAAATAAATTATTACAACCTACAAAAGTGTGAATTTATATGAAGTTATCCGGACGGGCTACCTGTGCACTGCGAACCCGGTCAGAGCCTGGAATCTGCACGTGGGAATTTGAAATTTTTTCTTATTTTGGATCAGTGCCCCCCCAGCTCCTAGGTCCTCGCTACGCCCCTGCACTTTAGAATCCCAGGTTAGTCATTCCAATAGACCTCTTTAGCTTTGTTGATTGTTGTGCACATTCCAGACCACATGATGTCACTCTTGGGAGTTGATTCTTTCATATGTAAATATTTTAACATGTTTGTCATAAAAGAACAATTCTCAAGGGAATGTCATGTGATCTGAAATGGACAATTTGTATACGAAGCTAAAGAGGTCTTAATTGACTCTAAATTCTGCTAAGACAAATTTCCTTCCATCTACAAGTACTCCTGGTTGCCCACTCCATTGATGGAGTACCCCTTTGCAGCCATTACCATATTGACAATCTAGTACTAAAATTATAGATTGTTTGGGCGTATTCACATCTCAAAGCTTAAACAGCTACAGTACAGGCTTTGCACCATTATGTGATAGCAGCCATTACCGGAGGCACAACAATAGAGTCCTTTTCTATTGCAAAACTGAATTCTTTCTCAAGTACAAACCAAAATAGATTCAATTATTCCTGCAATATGGCCACTGATGACAGACCAATGCTCAGGGTTTTAATATCTGAGTAGAATGTCAGCAAATGGTCAGACCTTTTTCAATGTTAGTTTATCACTGCTAAGTAGGGTTACAATAGATTATAATCAGTATCACGATTCTCCTATGACCTTCATCGAGAAAGAGCCATCAATGAGACAAGGTATTATCTTCAAAATTAGAGTACCGAAAATATCACTTTTTTGGTATCCATGTCGGTTTTCTGAATGCAATGGTTCTCTGAAAGAAAAATTCTTCTTCTCTTAATTACAACTTTTATGAAACAAAAATAATTTCCTGGCGATGCTTTACAAGGATAAGGAAAATTAAATCTCGCACTTTCTGCTACGGTTGAGTGAAAAATATCATACAAAATTTGTTTTCTTTCAAAATTTTGCTTTGAAAAAATTTGATTAATTAAAGCTTACAATTGTTTGAATGACAAAGAAATTGTAGAATCAGTTATTCTCCTATTGATGATCTTTGAGCATATTCATCAGAGTATTGCCACATGAACGAAACTCTATATATGGCGCGCATGCGCAGCAAAATGGCCCCTTAACATAATATGTTTTCTCCTAGCTTGTTGTCCATATTTTGAGGTATCACAATTTATTTACATTATCTAAGGGCAGTGGATGGAGTTTCAAAGTACTTACACTTAAAAAAACAGTTACTATTAAGTTGTTTTTTYCCCATTCTTTGCATTGCTGACCTTACATGCCAGTAGATATAATGGGCAGTAAGTAAGTATATTGTTTGTAATTGATTCTTGTCTGCTTTGAAATTTGCCAAAACCACTCCAAGGGGCTTTTAATTATATGGAGGCGAGCCAGCCCAGCCCACTTTTATTTTCTTTGTAAAAATTCCTTTGCATTTATATGGGGAAATGGGCTGGCTCACTTCACCGACAGCTTGGTTGGAAGGTACCAAGATTTCTGCAAGCTGGATGAACAAATGTTCATGATATAAACAAGCTAGCCCACAAGTTCATATGCAAGTGAGGCTGGATGGCAGCTTGACTGATTTCATCCCATTAGGCGGGCTGAATTTTCATATATGAACAAGATCACAAGATCAAAATTTAATATCAGCAAAACAGATTTTAAAGCTGTCGTTTGTGTAATTTTTTTTTTTGTTGCTAGGATTTAAATAGCCAAATAAATTCAATGTATTCAATTTTCTTTTGATGATAACAAAATATTGTGTGTGATCTGAAAATAATCCATATTGATTAATTTGACCTGATATGATATARAGCTACATTAAAAATTCCAAGTACTAGAGAAAGTGTTAAACCAACTTGATGCAGATGTTTACAAGATGGCCCTTTTATACCACCATCTATTCATTTTTAGTCTGCCTTCCTCCCTCCATTAATATAATTGATTATATACATATGATGTTTTACTAACTTGCAAGAGTAGTCTTCGTCGCATTTACCATCAACGAAGTATCTTTCGGCTCTTCTGGCACAAGTTTTGGCTGTAATTTCCTTAAAAGCTGCTCCTTCGTTTCAAAATCATGTAATCTAAAGGAATCTTCACTTGAATCTGAAGTCCAATCATGATCCTTTTGAATCGAATGCGAGGTAATATTTGGAGTGTGAACAACAAACTTTAGACCCGTACAAAGTGTATCGAAATTTATGAGTCCGTTATCTGGTGAACACTGTCTGAGGTAGTCAATCATAGCAGAAAAAGACGGTCCTTTAACATCCCAATAATTTTCGATGTCTGTTAACTTGATATATCCACAGTGATCTTGATCTAGAATGTCAAATAACGATCGCAAATAGTTTGCGAACTCTTTTGGGAGTTCTTTTTTCGTATCAACGTCTAACAAACTTTCAGATATTGATCCAGGACATCCATTACGATCTTCTGGGTGAAAAAAACAAGAATTTTCAGCCTCTGCTATCGAACTCTTCATGACCAAAGACACACTGCTCGCAGCTTTTAATTTTCAAAGGAATTCACAACATTAATCATTGTATCGAGGCTCACGTCAAAAGGGCGACAGGTTTGACCGGTTTACTTGTCAGATGATGACCGGTTCTACTCCACAATTGGCTGTCGTTAATTGGTTATCAATAGCTCTTAATCACCATAGAAGTTCAAAATTCCTTCCTTTGTTCSTTGTGCCTGTTGAACTATTGCAATATTTATATCGAGAAGCTAGTTTTGCTATCATGAGCGCTAAAATGGCGTCCGCGCGAATTCGGTTGAGTTAAAATTCGGTTGAAAGAAAAACCAATATATACCAGAAGCAGCAGTTAGGGGGACCCGCGGAGGGGGTACCGTATGAGCGGGGTATTGCCCCCGCCAAGTACCATCCGGCTCCCGCGGGTATTACCCGTAAGGTCCCTCTGTGTATTGCCTGCGTAATTCGATTTGAAAAGCTCTCTACGGGTTTTATCGGTGCCCCGCATTACTGAGTTAAAATATTTGTTCTAATGTAAAGAATTCTGTAGTGTCGCAAACGAAGGTTAAAATATTTCCTAGATATAGATGGACGCCATCACAAGCATTCAAAACAAAACTACATGCAAGCTGCGGACACAAGTCTTAGATAGGCTGGACGCCGACTTCGCCTTCACGACATTCACAGAAGGAGACACAGAAGAAATCATGGACGAAGAAAGAGCCGAAAAGATAATAAACCTGATGCCTGAAGGTAATTACCGTTAACAGTTAACGTTTATAAAGTATTACGACGGCGAATGGATAATAGAAAGAGGTCGCAACCCTATTCGGGCSKCTGGTAAGCAAAGCTTGTTCGTCCTAAACAAGAATACCAGGCCTGGAGCGCTGGTAGGCATCGACATGTTGTTCTACGAAGTTGCTTACCCTGTTACAGTAGTAATCTACGGTGCGTATGAGATCAAGGAGCCAGACGTTAGGAAACTCAAACCAATGCGACATCCCGGCAACTGCGTAGGAAAGTTAGTCAGGGAATTCTTTGAAGATTCCTCCCGGGGCGGTAAGCTTACCCCAAAAAGAAGAGAAGCCATCAGAAAGTGGGAGCTCGCTACTCATAGGGCCGGAGCAACCATAGAAAACGTAAAAAGATATAACTAGCTAAAAACTAGTGTGAGCTGCGTCTGTGTTTCTAATGAAACAGTAATGATGAAAAGGTAAATTATACACCGTGAAAAGATGAAAAAACNGGTAAATTATACACCGTGAAAAGATGAAAAAACTTACTGACGTTTCGGACGCTAGTCCTTCGTCGGAATAAAAGAGGAAGAAAATAGAAAACGTAAAGAAGTTAGAAACTGCCTTAGGAAGGCGCATCGTAGTCAAAGATATCACAGACGGTTACATCTATCCTGGRACTCATAAGTACGGAGGTAGAGGTGCTCCTATTGTCRTTTACCAACACAATGCGCATGCTTGGAGAGAACTAAGATTTCCTAAAAAGAAAGAGACAAAGGTCTACGAGAGTTCTCCATTGGTGGAGTTAATCCATGAGAATTCTACTTGGATAATGGCTCCGGAAGGAAGTCAGTTTATGACCCAAGATGGTACTCTATATCGCCCAGAAATAGAACATCAACGCATTCAAAGTGCCTGCGAGACTTTAGGAGAAGACTTTTCAGAAGAAGTTCTRAGCAGTCGCAGTTTGGACTTCTTATCCACAAAAAGAAGAAATGGGTGGAAACCGACCCCAAAGGAATTCAAGGAGATCTCCAAAGCATGCGTAGAACATGGACATGGTGGTTTATGGAACATGGAGTACGACGAGGAAGAATACGTATCCTTAGAGGCCTCTGGCGCGGGATGAAATAAGCCCCGTAAGCCCAAAAAACAAAATGCAAAAAACCCCACTGGGGATAGCTTGGTGTTCTGCGCGATGCATTCCCCAGTGGGGTTTCTGGCAAAACAAACGCCATTTTTGCATTTTTATTTTTTCGGAATCCATCCTAACAGGGGGTGGTTGGGGTCTATTTCGTGGAATATTTCGTAAATTACGTCAGGGTAATAAGGAATATCCTTATCCAACCGACAAAACATCCACTCAGCCCTTCTCATAGTATCTTCAGAAACCTCGGGAATAGGGTCGCCGGTAATTTCAGACAAAAGATAGGGAATACCTTTGTAATATTTGCCTAGCTTTAATTTTTTCAATGTCTTCCTTAAGCTTTGCGGGGTTGGTTCTTTTAAGTCAAGCGCTTCCATTACTTCGTTGTCTAAATATACCGGTCGATATGACCTTGGATGTGACTCATCCAGTCTCTAAAGTATTTTATTCTCTTATAAGGTGTTTTCTTACGACCTCCGTTAGAGTAATATTGTTCCCTGGTAGCACAAGGTACGGCATTGCGAATGTTCTTACCACACTCGTAACACTGTGCTGACGTGTCATCTTCTATTTGCATTTTTTTTACCACAACAAATATACTTATTTGGKTTAGTAGGTACAAACTTGGGTTTCAAGCACTTTACACAAAAGTCATAAGCAAACTCTTTACATTCGTGCATCGTATATAGAACAAATATCTTAACTCAGTAATGCGGGACACCAATAAAACCCGTAGAGAGCTTTTCAAATCGAATTACGCAGGCAATACACAGAGGGACCTTACGGGTAATACCCGCGGGAGCCGGTGGTACTTGGCGGGGGCAATATCCCGCTCATACGGTACCCCCTCCGCGGGYCCCCCTAACTGCTGCTCCAGAAATGGAAAAATCACCTTTACCTTTTGTAACCCTACGAAGATTTATTGTCAGCTGTATGGTGATCAAGGGTTGCCACTAGCTAATTCACAAAATATGGCGGTATTTTATGTCTTTTATTTAATTTTTTCTTCTCTTTTTTATCTTTTATTTTTCAATTTTTGTCCTTTGCTTTATTTCATTTTTTAAAAATTTCCTTTTACTTATGTATTTTAAAACCTAGCGCAGGTTGGGGTTAGAAACCCTAGCGGAAGTTGGGGCTAGAAAACCTAGCGGAAGTTGGGGTTAGAAACCCTAGCGGAAGTTGGGGCTAGAAAACCTAGNTTGGGGTTAGAAACCCTAGCGGAAGTTGGGGCTAGAAAACCTAGCGGAAGTTGGGGTTAGAAAACCTAGCACAAGTTGGGGTTAGAAACCCTAGCGCAGTTTGGGGTTAGAAACCCTAGCGCAGTTCGGGGTTAGAAACCCTAGCGCAGGTTGGGGTTAGAAACTTTAGCGGAAGTTGGGTCTAGAAAACCTAGCGGAAGTTGGGGTTAGAAAACCTAGCGGAAGTTGGGGTTAGAAACCCTAGCGGAAGTTGGGGGGTTAGAAACCCTAGCGCAGGTTGGGGTTAGAAACTTTAGCGGAAGTTGGGTCTAGAAAACCTAGCGGAAGTTGGGGTTAGAAACCCTAGCGCTGGTTGGGGTTAGAAACTTTAGCGGAAGTTGGGGCTAAAGAACCTAGCGGAAGTTGGGGCTTGAAACTCTAGCTCAAGTAGGGCTACCAACCCAGGCGCCAGTTSGGGTTAGAAACCCTAGCTCAAGTTTGGGGTAGAAACCCTAGTGCATGTTACGGCTACAATCTATAGCACAAGTTGGGGTTAGAAACCCTAGTGCAAGTTCTGGCTTCAAACTCTATCGCAGGTTGGGGTTAGAAACCCTAGCACAAGTTGGGGTTAGAAACCCTWGTGCAGTTCGGGGTTAGAAACCCTAGCGCAGGTTGGGGTTAGAAACCCTAGCGCAGTTGGGGGCTAGAAACCCTAGCGCAGTTTGGGGCTAGAAACTCTAGCGCAGTTTGGTGTTAGAAACCCTAGCTTCTGCTAGGGCTTCTAACCCCAACTTGCGCTAGGGTTTGTAGCTCCAATATGTGCCTGGGTTTCTAACCCGAACTTGCACTATGGATTCTAGCTGTAATTTGTGCTAGGCTTTCTAGCCCCAACTTGAACAGGGGTTTCTAACCCCCAACTGGAGGTAGGGTTTCTAGCCCCCAACTTGAGCTAGGGTTTGTAGAATAAAACTATTGCTACAGTTTGTAACCCCAACTTGCGCCTGGGTTGGTAGCCCTACTTGAGCTAGGGTTTGTACAATGTGCTTTATTTATACCAGAGATTACCAAGGGCGGATCCAGCCAAAATTTTAGGGGGGGGGCTAATGGAGTTTAGGGGGAGGGGGGGCTAATTGAGTTTCTTCCGTCAACACAACGGAAAACAATACAAAAAAGCATCGTTTTTCCCTGCTGATGGGGGGGGGGGCTTCAGCCTCCCTTTGCCCCCTGGATCCGCCCTTGATTACAATAGGCCTACTTGTGCTTGAGTTTGTAGCCTTACTTGAGCTTGGGTGTGTATCCCTATTTGAGCTTGGGTTTCTACCCCTAACTTGTGCAATGAATTTTAACCCCAACTTAGAAACTGTAGAAATCAACATGTGAGCTGTGTGTTGTGCATAGATTGTTGAACGAAGTGGTAGTGCATGTGGAAGAAGCCTCTCAGAAGAGCCCCATATGGGGAATGGTGGTTGTAAAATATGAAAAAAAAAATGTTCTAGGGTTTCTAACCCAAATTTGTGCTAGTATAGGGTTTCTAGCCCTAACATGTGTTGGGGTTTCTAGCCTTGACTTGCGCTTGGCTCTTTAGCTCCAACTTGAGCTGATGAGTTTATTTCGCTGTTCAACTCCCCATCCCTAAAGGATTTTCTGCAAGTTRCAAACTCACCCCTGGAATTTCCAATTTTTTCTGGGGTGGGTATGGATATATTATGCTACAACTACACATTGGCATAACACCCAGGTATAAACATCATGATATCATAACAAAGTTCATTTGATTGCATATTTATCAGATCACGAATAACGCAATAGGCATCGATTCCTATTTTACATATGAAAAGGTTGTAAATTAAATACAGAACTATGGATATCATATCCTCATTTGCATTCAACTTCAYGTTTCAATTTCAAAACGTTTCGACATTTGATAACACTTATCACTTAGTGGTACAGTATTCAAGTCAGATCCGCAAAGTTTAAATATCATGTTTCTAAGCACTGTCATTTTTACTATGTATAGTATAATTTTGTTTTTAACTCTACTAGTTGTGAGAAGCGTGTATGCTCCTAAATTCCTTTAATATCATTATGACCCCCAATCAACTTAATTGACAATTTATGCATCAATAAAACGGTTGAATATCTTAACGTACTAAAAATCCATGCTTTAATGGATCATCCTTCTCCATGGTAAAGGTACATTTCCCAGTGTAGTACGCTTGTCCGGTCACTTCAACATGAACAGCATCAAACTCACCACACTTTACTTGTTTGACAACTCTACCACCAAACTTTGATCCTGCAATGCCTTGAAAGGCACGCAGCTGGCCTAAATCAATTAGCTTCTTTGCATACTGGACTGCAATACGAGCTGTAACACCTGAACCAGTTGGACATCTGTCAACCTACAGGAGAAAAAAAGATAGGTTTATTTTCTGCAGATATAGTATATATTAGCAGGGACAAGGAGGATTGATCCTTATATGCAGAGAAATAAGTTCTCATAGTTTCTCTTCGATATCCAGGACCTATAGTCTTGATAAAGTTCCGTAATACACTGAATCGAAATATGGCGACCAATTTGAATAACTATTGTTCTGCACTGACTAGCGACTGACTAGCCTCCTATACATGTGAAAATGCTTTTATGTTTCCACGTGAACACGAGGCTAGTCAGTCGCTTGTCAGCACAGAACAATAGTTATTCAAATTGGTCGCCATATTTCGATTCGGTGTATAGTTGTTTTTTTTGACATTTGCATTTGCATTTTCATTTCATTTAATCATATCTCACACAACCTAGAGTTTACATTACATTTTTTACAATAAAGTTTACGAGACAATAATTTTATACAATTACATATATATAACAAAATAGCATGAATATTTACAATACAGTATCAGCAAGATTATTAAAACTATCATTGTTGTCACTATTGTTATTATTGTTTTTACAAAGATTCAGCTATAGTAATAATTTGAATAGAAAACTCAGGGTGGCAGACACCTCGAGAAGAAACCACAGGCTTATACTCTTGAGTTGTCTTTTTAGCTTGGTAATATAATATTCTACTATATATTATAGTATCAAATTAGAGAAAAGAAAGGAGCATGAAGGCATACAGTTTTAGCATATTCAATTAAAGCAAGGAGGAATAAGGAGTTACATGTTCTATTTTGAGATGTTATTTTGTTTAGTTGCACATAAGACATTTGATAATATTTACATTATTTACTAATGAGACAATCAATAAGGTAAGCTAGATATGGGTGTTGCTGTTTTTAAATTGTCAGGCAGCAAATTCCATGGCTTGGTGCCGTGATTAATTATAGTAAATTGTGTTATGTTTGTTCTACAAAAAGCTGGTCTATAATAATTTGACTGTCTAGTAGAATAGACATGAATTTGGGAATTTTTCTTAAATATATTGATGAGAGTATTGGGTAGTAATTTATTTTCAACAGATTACRTGAATAAGCCAAGTTGTAGTGAGTGGATATCATCTAGCCGTAGCAGTTTATATTTATAAAATAAAGGGGCAGTGTGTGCATCATACTTTGAACTGGTAATGATTCTAACTATACGTTATTGTAAGACTTTAAGTCTGTACAGATTGGTTTGATAGGTAGAACACCATGATGTTACCGTAATATAGAAATGGGTAAACTAGC